GTGGGTCCCGGGGACGCGGATGTGGGGGTTGGCGTGTTCTGCAGGGGCCGGTGCGGGTTCCACGGGTCTGGCGGCGCGGGGAGAAAGACGGGCAGGCTGGCGTACGCGTGGGTGGGCAACCCGGCGATCCAGTGTCCGGGTCAGTGCGCGTGGCCGTTTCACCAGCCGATTTACGGGCCGCAGACGGCCCCGTTAGTTCCTCCTAACGGCGACGTTGGGGTTGACGGAATGGTGATCAGTCTTGCAACGGTTTTGGCGGGAGCGGTGACGAACCCGTTTGAAAACGGGTATTTTCAGGGTACGAGAGACGCGCCTTTAGAGGCTGTGAGCGCGTGTACGGGTATTTTTGGGAAAGGGGCTTACCCGGGTTACCCCGGGGAGGTCGTTTGGGACAAAACGACGGGAGCTAGCTACAATGCGGTGGGTGTACGTGGACGCAAGTACTTGCTCCCGGCGATGTGGGACCCGCAGACCTCCACGTGTAAAACACTCGTCTGAGCAATGGCGTCAACCTGTGCGTGTTGCTAGAAGATTGTAGTGTTATGCATAATTGAATTTTTTTTTCCTTCTTTTTGGGGTGAAAAATGTGAATGTGTACATTTAATTCAGGAAAAGTGTTATATAAAAACAAAAAAAAATTGTTGAATAAGATCATGTATCAAGAATGGGACAATATTTAAGTGATAATAGAAAGTTTAGGGAGAGATTAACTACTCTCACCCCATCAGCTCCATAGCATACTCACAATCTCGAGTCAGAAGGAGAATGAGACAATACTCAGATTCCGAAATCTTTCACCATACATATATTACAATTGAAACCGTTCATTTCATAAATTATAATTTATAAATTATTATGCAAATTTTTTTTTAGTAATCGAAAACAAATGGACGTTTCATCACAAAGATGTTAATTAAATTTTATTTATCAAAGCCACTTTGATATGTGATAAGTAGTAATTCATGATCTCTAACTTAAAGTCACATTTAAGGTTCATAATATATTGAATTAAATGAAATTGCGTGGTAATTGCATATTTTGTAACATAGGACTTGAAATGAAATTAAAATTGGGCTTCTGATCCAAAGACAAAAATTAGAATTGGGCTTAAAAATAATTAACATGTGAGTCATGAAGACCCAAACTTAGACCACAGCCCATCACCTTCTCCCCACCATAACGCCAATTAACCAAACCTCACTGCTTCCTCGCTCCCTCCATTTCCTCCAAAAATGGAACCCCAACACCAGCCCACCTCCTGCAAAACGGAAGACCACCACCATCACTACCTGCAAAACCCTAGCTCCTCAGGATCCCCACGCTCCACCACCGTTCCCACCCCAACCTGCTGCAAATGCGGAGCCCCAACCCCTATGGCCGCTCCTCCTCCCAAGCCATCATCCTCGCCCCTGTCCCCCAACCCCTCTCTGTCCCCCAAATTTCCCCTCCCTACCATTTCCAAGCTCCCTCCAAGATCATCCAGTCCCCCGACGACCTCCGCCGCTTCCACGACTCCTTCCCCGGTAAGCACTTCCTCGGCTTCATCGCCGCTCTCTCCGATTCCATTCGCGCCAAAAAAATCTGCGACCCATGCCACGAATCTCCCACGATCGCCACCATCGTCTCCATTCTCCAAACCCTAATTCAGTGGGTTGACGAAATCCCACCCACCAAGCAAGCCGCCCGATACGGCAACGTTTCATTCCGCTCCTGGCACGAGCGCTTGTCCCAAACCAGCGACTCCCTCATGCTCCAGTTCCTCCCGGAGCATCTCCACGCTTCTACGATCGAGATAGTCCCTTATTTCACAGATAGCTTTGGAAACCCTAGCAGAATCGACTATGGTACTGGGCACGAGACCAACTTCGCTGCTTGGCTGTACTGTCTCGCGAGAATGGGCGTGATTAAAGAAGAAGATTATCCGGCCGTTGTGGCCCGGGTTTTCGTGAAGTATTTGGACTTGATGAGGAAGCTGCAGTTGGTGTATTGCTTGGAGCCGGCGGGGTCTCACGGCGTTTGGGGTCTCGACGACTACCATTTCTTGCCGTTCATTTTTGGGTCGTCGCAGTTGATTGGGCACAAGTACATGAAACCCAAGTCTATTCACAATGATGATATAGTGGAGAATTTTTCCAAGGAGTATTTGTATATTTCGGGCATTGAGTTTATTAAGAAGGTGAAGAAGGGTCCGTTTTCGGAGCATTCGCCTTTGTTGGATGATATCAGTGGGGTGCCTAATTGGAACAAAGTGAATAGTGGGTTGCTTAAGATGTATAAAGCTGAGGTCTTGGAGAAGGTACCCATTATGCAGCATTTTCTCTTTGGCTGGCTAATCAAGTGGTATGACCTCCGCCCATTTCTGTCCCTCTCTCTCTCTCTCTCTTTAAACTATTTGCATAAACTCAGATTGTTAGTTTGTGCAAATATTGAAATATTTTAAGCAAAGACATGAAATGTGGTTCTGTTCTTCTCATTTTACTGCCTTGTGTAGTGATGGTTCAAACTTAGATGGGATCATGCATTGGTTTAGTTTGACTGAAACTAGTTTAATTTCCTTACTTGAGTGAACCAACTTAAGCAGATAGGCATTCAAACTAAAAAACTTGGTTTTGTTCAGAGTCTTCGTGAAGCTGAAAAACCTTTATTTATTTATTTATATCAATGGGGGAGGGGCATTCAAACTTGGTATATTTATCTCTACAAAATTAAGCAAATCTCTAGCAAGTGTTGTAGTTTTGATTTAACGTTATCTTGGGGCCATTTACCTCCAATCCCTCATCCTTCATGTTAATTGTAAAGGTCTCGCTCTGAACTTAGTCTCCTCATATTGTCACTCATATTGTCTATTTCCTAGATGTATCCCTTTTTCCCACCTGCGAAGACTGCATCCTGATGTGCCTCCTATGTTAACTTTTTATATTTTAATCAACAACATTCCTGATAGTGTTTTGAGAGCCAAGCTTTGGCTGATCAAATCACCCATTTCTGTCATTTTTAGCAGGGTGTTATTGATTATTCTAATCGAATGATGATTTTCGGATTTACTTTGTCCTATTGATTGCACAAATCTTAAGAGTGGTGTACAAACACTTTGTCTACCTTGAGTTGCAGTATTGTCACATTCCAATATTGTTTTTGTGTAATTCTTTAAAGAGGAAAAGGGGCAAGTTATGATGTGTTTCACAGTTGCCTTCCTAAATAAAAGCATACTTGGATATCATGCAAGTTTTGATATACATCAGCTCATCCCCTGTCTTCATGATCATCTTTGTGTTTAGAACTTATTTGGCTTTCTACCTGAACCATACCTCTATTACCATGGGGGAAGCATCATTTCCATGAGAAAGGGGATAACTGTCAAGAGAATAATGATACTGCTCACCTTGGATTACTTATGTGAATGAATACTGCTGTGGCAGCATGATTTCTATAACTAGTAGTCATAATTTATGTCCTGTTCATACATTCATAACTTTTCACGGATTAGTTTCTTGTACTAGATGTATCAATCATGATTAAACAGTTGATAACTATATAGACAGTCTTTTAAACTTAGAATTGTACATTTCAAGTCTTAGAAAGCATTTTTTCTTTGATAGTATTATGATCAGATGAAAAACATTGCAGCCCCCTCATTAACAAGCTTTCTAGATTATCGTAGAGTTGTTTTATGATGTATAACTGTAGTTTATCCTGTTTCTTAACTGATTCATTCCTCCAATACTCTATTTTCCCAGGGAGTAGGATGTCGTGTGAGATCTACTGGAGCATCTGGTGTAGAAGAAGAAGTCAATTTTGTGTCAGGTTATAAGCCACTATAAGAGTAACAGTTACTAGATTGGAAATGTATACATCTCCTCTTTTGTATCCATTAACTTGTTTTTGCCTTTTGCTCCTGTAATGAATACTGAATATGCAGTCTTGTTGTTGTGTTACTGCATTTTTCTTCTTTTGATCGTAATATTTCACTCTGAGTGGAAAAGTGATCTCAAAAGAAGAAAAAGACCAAACAAAGTAGATTAGAATTTACTATTTCATTTAGAATCTGAGCATATATAGAGCTTCTTGTTCTTTGAATTGTTCTGAAACCTTTATTTTTTATTGAAAGACAAGGGAGAGTTTCCATCTCAAGTCATGATGATGCAATAATAAAATTATCATGTTAAACAGATACCCACACCAGAATTTAGGTATAGACCTCGGATGGTTTTTGTTGCATTCTTATTACACCAGAATTTACATCTAGCCTTGCAGAATCCAGGTTGCCAAACAAATTTAGGTAACTTGGGTAAGAACCTCTTCATCTTTAATGTTTTTGTAGTTTGTAGGAAAACCATTAACCATTCGTTCGAATGTGTGATAATTTGCTTGTCCACCCAATGGTCAAAAGACACGCAAATAACACCCCTTCTGTCCAAGGACAGCAAATATGAGATGCCCTTGTTTTAAGGGTTTAAGGCCTGCTTTCTACTTCGGGAGCATTCTCTTTTTGAGCACTTTCACCGCAAAGCCCAGCCTGGGCAAAAGGCCCCCTTAGGCAATTTTCAGTTATGGGCTAGATCTCAGATAGAGCTCTAAAATAATGTAAAATCCATCTCTAGTCATGGGCTAAACAAAATTTTGACTAAATTTGGAGGGCCATATTTGGCCATTTAGCCCTCTTATCGGGTCACATTTAGCCTAACTTTTGCCTAGGCCAAATTTTATGTGGGTCCCATGCATATGTTTTTGAAGAAGATAAATTATCAAGTGAGTGCAAGAGCACGAATCATCTCGTGCAAATACATATCCAACAGCCAACAATAACAGCGCTGACGTCATCGATATATTTTTAAAAGCTTTTTTAAATGTTTTCAATTTGTGTTGTTTAAGAAAAAATTATAAAATATTATTGGTCATGACCATTGGTGGTCAAACTATTGAAACCCAACCTTTTATATATATATATAATGTGGTCACCTTTTTAAATGTTTTCAATTCTTAAAAAAATTATAAAAAATTACAAGTCATGAATGTTGGAGGTCAGACCATTGAAACCTATCCTCTTAAAAAACCATCTCTCCCAAAAAACCCTCATAGAGTTGTTTTCACTTTGAGGGGGGGAGGAGGCCCTTGTTCTTCCTCTCCTAATATTCTTCCTCCCCTATCCCCTTCTCTCTTCCCCCATTTTCAGTGACAGAAGGTTTCCCCTGTTTGTCTTGGTTTGGTTCTGCTTTTCCTCCACCCATCATAGGCGGGCGTCAAATCTCCACCATCATCTTTTTTGTAGTTTCTTTATTTTTAGAATAAGTCACAGAGACTCTTTGAGCTTTATGTATAGTTTTTACCTCTGGTTCTCTGTGAGTTTTCACCTCTCCTTTTGTGAGAGCTTTCCACCTCTCATTTGTGAGAGCTTTTTATCTCTCATTTGTGAGAGTTTTATTTGTATTGTTATGGCTTGGTTTTTTCAAGCTTTGTCTATTTTTGATTATTCTGAGTTTGCAATCTTAGTTGGGATGCCTATGCTAGAGTTTATTCGATC